TTTATCGCCAGCCTTTTTCACTAAGCAAATTTTGCTTTTTGAAGTGCTTTTTTTACGGCAAATCTTAATTCATTATCGCCAACATTTATCGCTTTATCACCAAACTTTTTCACTAAGCGAATTTTTTTATACATTTTTTATATAAAAATATGAATTTTTTATATGAATTTTGCTTTTGCTTTAAGCCAAAAGATAATGCCTAATCTCCAACTTTTATCGCTTTATCGCCAAATTTTTATCACTAAAAATTTTATCTCTGGAATACTTCTTGCATCAAATGTTATCGCTTTTACGCCAAAATTTAGCACTATAATGGCAAAAAAAAATTATGTCTAAATTGCCTTTACGCCAATTTATATCGCTTTATCTCCAAAGGTTTACCACTATTATGGCAAAATCTTAATGTTTTCTTTTTAAGCCACTTATTGCTGCTTTAACGCCAAAATATACCATTATCTTGCCAACATTTCATTCCTAAATTGCTTTTACCCCAAATTAAATCGCTTTATCACAAAAATATTATGTGGAATTTTTATTTTGCCCACTCACACAAAATGTATCATTTAGACAAAGGTAATAACTGCTGTTACAATAAAATTTCGCCACAATTATTCCTAATTCGCCATTTTTTTTTTTTAAATATTAAACAAATAAGTTGGTACTTACGTATTAACGTCACTGCTGCTACAGATTTAGCGGTTTTTAAGTGGCGCCAATATACACTTAAAATTTTTGTGACAAATCATAAACTATATAAAGCACTTTATTTGAAATCCAAACACTTTCAAAATTCAAAACACTTTATTTAAAAACCAAGTAGTCAATCGGATTTCGGTGGAAAAAATGGGCCAATATAGAGTTTAACATAGATTCGAAACAGTCTCTATTTTGGCGCATTGTCAGCTCTTTATTGGCGCATTAAACCAACTTCTGCTGCAGGAGCGTTAATACGTAAGTACCAATAAGTTATGTTGTTTTGTTCTTTAAGAAGTCGATTTCGAATGATAAATTAATAATAACAAAAGAGAAAAAAAGAAGAAGAGACCAGAGAATAACATACCTGTTATTGTGGTTTGTCCTTTGTCTGTGGTGGAAACGTTTTTTAATTTTATAAACCTTTTTTTCAATTCATAAAAAAAATAAGCATGCATCCTTTTCATCCATTCTGCAGGCTAATAATACCGTACACCATCCCATTCAATTTTCATTCATTCTTGTACTTGCATAGCCATAGCAAATGAATATGGAATACTTGACCAACAGCACAAATTCACAAAAAAAGTTAAATTGTAAAATTCTTAAAAATTTAAAAATTACTTTATTATTATTAATTTATTTTAATTATTAAAAAATTAAATTGTAACGTTAACTAACGTTGTAAAGAGCTAAAGCTTCAAATATTTCGTGCAAATTCTAATTACGCTTGCACAAAGTCCTAACTAAACGAACATCTTTTATTAATAAATTAAAAATCGTTATTAATAAATTAAATAATATCACTATTCTGCCAAAATTTTAATCTTTGAAATGCTTTATCGCCAGCCTTTTCACTCACTAAGCAAATTTTGCTTTATCGATCAGTTTTTCACTAAGCTTTTGCTTTTTGACGGCAAATCTTAATTCATTATCGCCAACATTTATCGCTTTATCACCAAACTTTTTCACTAAGCGAATTTTGTTATACATTTTTTTATATAAAAATATGAATTTTTTATATGAATTTTGCTATTTGCTTTTAAGCCAAAAGATAATGCCTAATCTCCAACTTTTATCGCTTTATCGCCAAATTTTTATCACTAAAAATTTTATCTCTGGAATACTTCTGCATCAAATGTTATCGCTTTTACGCCAAAATTTAGCACTATAATGGCAACTAACTAACTAACTTTTTCACTAACGTTGTATAGATCTAAAGCTTCAAATATTCCGTGCGAATTCTAATTATTGCTGCACAAAGTCTTAACTAAACGAACATCTTTTATTAATAAATTAAAAAATAGTTATTAATATATTAAAAAATCGTTTTTCTTGTTAGTTTCTTATTTTTATCAGACAGTTATTTTCATCATAAAAGTTGTTTATATTCTGTATCAGCGACATTCGCACGTTATAAAAATAAGCGCGGAATAATCAATAATTTATCGGAATACTTATTTAAAAGAATAAGTATTTCTGCCCTTATTTACTGCAAAAAAGGATTCTGCAAATAATTATCGGAATAGCAGTAAAATAGTCATTATATTGTTCAGAAAATGTAGCTACGAATTCCTCTAATTAGAGTATTGCAATCGTAAAGAAATTGGCGGAATATTCAGGTTGCAAGATTGGCGACTTTAAGGGCTACAGTATCCTAGATGTTAGCCAATATTTTTAACAGTAAATGCAGACAGAACAAAACCAAACCAAATAAGGCTCAGGGTGGAAAATAATTTATCTAATACCTTCAAAATGCCATTTTGATATATATTTCAACAATTTTATTTTAAAAAATATTATTCAGACATTTTTTGAAATTTTCCAGACACGTTATACTTTCGGGAGAAGCAATTACAGTCGTTCAATATAAATTTCCTAACTTTATGACCAAAGCATTTAAAAATTCTTCTTGTTTCTTGAAAGCATTTCTTTAGATATTGTTTTCGTTTCTTCAAATACGAATCTGTATTAGTAGGTGGAGAGTTCCTTTTGGCGCAGAATTTTCTTGGCGATTTCTAGGTCGCACAGGGATTCTGATCCATAAAATTCTTGGCGGAAATAGATGGCGATTACGTAAACAAGTATTTTCATTGCATGAATCACTTAAAGACCAAATATTGTGTGGTCTAGCAAAATAGCCAAAAATAACAATAGATGGAAAGTTATGCTGTCTTTCATTAGAAGAATTGTCTGGTCTGCCTCCATAAAGTACTGATTGGACAAAATGATGCCACTCTTTATTGGACATCCTACATTGGATATGAAATCTTTTACCATAGAGATAATGTACAGACTGTCTTCTATTGATTTGTTCATTTTCAGCAACTCTTCTTCTTCCACCAAGTATTGTCTGTTCCAAAGACTCAAAAAAGATTTGTCTTGAAATGTCTGAAGGTTCTTTACTTTCGTTTGACTTGAACGCATTATCAAATATAGACGGGAACATTCCAGAGATTTTGATTCCTTATGTAATGGAAACCAAAAGGTGAAAAAGTAAAAGATTACGGTAAACGCAATAACTCTTGAATTAAATACGGAATGTAAAAAAACAAAAGGAAAAGGAAAACGAAATAAGGCCGAGCGATTTATTCTTGTATGTAATAAAATTCATGTTTGATTTAACAAAATAGTTTTCATAATAAAATGTCTCCTTTTAGTTACAAATTTAAAATAGTTTTAAAATTATTATAATCAGAAAAGTGATACAGCACGTGATTAAATGGGTTATAACAACAAAAAAAAAACCAACATCACGGGCATTAGAATTAAATAATTAATTTTTAAAGGAATTTAATTCACAGATAATTATTTATCTGATTTTTTTGCCTTATTGAAATTTTGATATTACGGTTAATATAGATTTTATAAATCTATATTAGTCGTCATATTAAAATAATATCAGGAATTTTATTTTAGTGTTGTTTTTTTTTTACCAAGTGTATTATTCAATATTTTTTGTAGTAAATTAAAAAAAAAAAAAAATAAATAAAATTATTCTAAGGAAAAAAAATTATTACTGATCTCACAAAAATATTTTATATTTTTTACTTTATTTTGATAGAAAATATATTAGAACTTTTTTAACTATATCTGTAATTACGTTGATGAATTTAGCACAATATGATTCCTTTTTGATGTTAAATAATTGCACGTAATTGGCTGTTACAGTATCAGGACTATAAACCCCATTCACAATTTCAGTCTGGCTTACATTTTCGCCTTTATCAAAGAAAAGCTGTAAAATGTCCGTAATTATTACGCTTTTATTAGTTTCACCTGTATGTTTGTTTGTATGTATGTAACTGACTTTTGAGCTCGATTTTGCCATACTTTAAGCGATCCGATTTAATTTAAACGTTGTGGACTTCTCAGGGACCGACAACACTAAAATATTTTGTTCAGTTTATTATCTCATCATGATTAGGATCACCAGGATTAGTGATTAAAACACACAGCCTTTGAAAAGTCATCTTGAACGGCTCATCATTCCCCCTGGAGATCTGTTCTCCTCATACATACTATTTAAGCTGCAAAGAAACATTTACAGACATCTTTCAGACATTCAAACCTACGTGGGACAGTGGCACAACGGATAACGCGCCTGATTACGGATCAGGAGATTCCCTGTTCGAATCCTGGCTGGAATCCTACATATTCGCATTTAGCCTTTGTTTTACTCACAATTAAATTATTGTAAGAACCAGTCCTCCGTACCGTGATCTCATTTAAATATTATAGTTTAAAAATACTAAAAATCATGCTTTTACAGTTAATCAAAGTAAAAAGTAAAAAATAAATTAATAGTTTAAAAAACACGCTTTTAGAGTTAATCAAACTAAAAAGTAAAAAATAAATTAATAGTTAAAAAACAATAAAACACGCTTTTAGAGTTAATCAAACTAAAAAGTAAAAATAATTGTTAACATAAGAATAAAATGACAGACGAGAAAATGATTATTTATTTTATTTTAGTTTTTTTAAACTATTAATTCTTCGTCTATTTGTTCTTCCACTTTTAACAACCTGTAATTCTCAACTGAATGAACCAAACAAAAAAAAAAAGCCAAAGAATTATTTCAGTGCAAAATGTCATCTTTCCAACGAGCATAATTCTGAAATTGTTTGATGGATACCTTATGAGATATTGATCACTACAATCATCTACCAAAAAACTAATGGATTTCTTTTTCACCAATAAATATACTAGGATTAATGAAGGATAAATTATATAAACAGTAATCGTTTGAGAAATCCACTCAGTTGAATATATGGCTGACATTATCTGTTGTATAACTATGTTGGCCAACGGCTATACCATGCTGAATATACCGGTTCTCGTTAGATCACCAAAGTCAAGCATCATCGAAGTCAGTACTTGTGTGGGTGACCTCCTGGGAACACCGCCGTTGGCATTCACAAATTTGGGACCTGAATGGCCGAGTTTCTAGCGCTCTGGCGCTCGGTAACACAGGTTTCGGGTTCGAATTCCGGCGGTGCCATGGATGTTTGTAGTGGTTCGGAATCCACTTTAAGACGTAGGTCCCGGTCTCCTGTGACTGTAACAGCGTCACGGATCCAAAGTCAAACTTCTACCTACGGGTGCTCCATCACAACAGAAGCTGCTTCCTTCCCTTCAATCACGAGTACGTATGGGCTCGTGGGCTTGGCCAGCCAAGTGGGATAAGAAACAACAAACAAACAACAGAATTATGTAAATACAAGCTGATATTATTATTATTTTTTTTAATATTTTGACTATTATAAGTAGAAATTTCATCAGTGATTGAAAATAATTTATCAAATGGTTAATGGTATTTAGTGGTTGAAAATAATTTTATGTGTTATTGTTTCTTTCTTAATAGAGCACACACATTTTTTTCATTTGCAGTCAGTGTACTGAAATTGCTCCATAATAATTTTTTATAATGCTATTTAACAAACTAATAGTTTCATTACATAAGAGAACACTAAACTAAATTTTAAATTGTTGAAATTTAAAATTTGACTGTTATTTACATATATTAACGATAGTATAAAATTTAATAAAGATAAATTTTAAATTGTGCTTAACAATAATTTTTTTCTTAATATAGAAATTTTTTTTTATTGAATTATTATAGCAGATAAACAATATCTTCATTTTACCATTTCTTTTCCCATTTAAAAATAACATAAGCAATTTTATTTTCTCCAAAGATAAGTAATTAAAAAAACTTATTTACTTAAATAATTCACATTTACATTCACTAAATATGTAGAGAAATAAAACTTTATTAGCTAGCAGAGCATAATCTAAGCAGAACTAAAATTCCATTAATATGAATGTCAAAAAATATTTCGTATATAATCACAAAAGAAAATAATACCCAAATGTTTTTTTTTATTATTATTTACACAAGTGTTCTTCCACAAGCAGCTATGATCCAAATCTAACATAGAGTCTCATTTGAAATATGGAGATTTTGATCGTCCTTCGACTTGTAAAGTACAAACTTTTCCTTCGTAAATAAATAATTCGCTTTTTTTTTCCAGCTGTCCTTGATAAAACTCGAAATGAAATTCTAAGCCCGAGAGGCCTTTGCTAATCAAAATAGGACAGGTGAATTATTTTTTCCTTTTTTTTTCCTTGAATTGAAAACTTGAGTAAATGCCTTTAGAAAATTAAATTGCAGATGTTTTTCCTCGTTCAAATGAACGCAAATGGCTACTTCAGGATGGGTTGATGCATATGTTATTTTATGCTGCCAAGTGTCTTATTTTTTAAACCAATGATTTCTTTTCTTTCTTTTTTTTGGATTATTGTAAAAAGAAATGTTTATTAAAGTTTTGACAAAAACGACAGCTTTATTATTTCGAAAATTAAATTGATTATACATGTAATTATTTTGGCAAAACGAAATAAAAATAATTCATATGCCGTATATTTCTTATACCTATTTTATATATATATATATTTATATTTATACATATATATACAAAAAAATTTATTTATTTGGCAAAAAGGAAATGAAAATACTTCTTTCTTCTATTTTCGGTAGAAAAACAGAAAAAATATATAAATAAATTATATAAATTATATTTACGTGGAATATAGTATAAAAAAAATTGAGATATACCAACTACATTAATAATTTGTGCGAATGATTATAAAATTCGTAATGCGTATACTTATACCTCTCTTTTCCAATTCCTTCTATTAGCTCACACTCTCCTTATATATATCTTGTTCAAATTTTTAATCGTTCATAAAATATTTTTTATTCGTTCACTCAAGTTCAAATTCATATTTATAAAGAACTTTCTGCAATATAGCGAAAAAAAGTAGGAATTGACTTTAAAATTATTTTTCATAATACTTGCTTATATTTTGATATGGAAAGACACTCACCTAGGTTTTTTCTTAAGAAAGGATAAATAAAATAAACTTTAACTGTTTGGGAAGCCACTAGGTGGAATTTATGGCTTGCATTATCTGCCGAAAATTATGTTAATACAAGTTGATATTATTTGTTTTTTGAACTTTCCACCTATTATAGTAGAAATTCCATCAGTTGGTTGAACAAGCTAAATGGTTGAAAATAAAATAATAAATAAGTTTCAGTGGGTTGTTTTTCTCTTAATAGTGTACAATATTTCTTCATTTTCAATTTTGACTTCATTTTCAATATTTAACTTCATTTTAAAATTTATCTTCATTTTTAAATTATAAGAAGTATATTTACGGGGAATATAAACTTTGAGTTATTTCAAATAAATAGTAATTTGTGCGAATGATTATAAAATTCGTATGATGTATACTTATACTTCTCTTTTCCTATATTGTTACAGGAATGCGCCCACCTAGGAATTTCTTACAAGAAATAAACCGCAATGGTTTGAGAAAACCACTAAGTTGAATTTATGACTTGCATTATCTGTCGTAGAATTATGTTAATGCAAATTGAAAGTACACAAGAGCCAAAACATTATGACCACCTGTCAATAACGAGTTGGCCTACCTTTGGCGCATAACAGAGCTTCAACCCGCCTTGGCATGGCTTAATACCACCACTTAATACCAGTTAAATACCACTTCCACCTGATCACGTGCCTTCCACGTTATCTAGACGAGTTCATTACAAAATGTAGGGGTGGTCATAATGTTTTGGCTCTTGAGTGCATGTTAATGCAAGCTTAAAGTATTTGGTTTTTTGAATATTCCAACTATTATAAATAGAAATTCCATCAGTTCTTGAAAATATTTTATTAAAAGTGTATCAGTGATGTTGCAGCTTTCTCTTAATAGATCACAAAAAATACAATCATTATGACCACCCCTACATTTTGCAATGAACTCGCCTGGATGACGTGGAAAGCACGTGATCAGGTGGAAGTGGTGTTTAACTACTGCTGGAGAGTCTGAAGAATTATATATATATATTATTATATGTATAATAATATATATAATAATAATATAACGTTATTCACAGGTGGTTATAATGTTTTGGCTCTTGAGTGTATATTGATTTGAAATCAGTGTACTTAAAATTCTCTATAGATTGTTTTTGTAATATTAGTTTACAAACTAATAGTTTCAATAGAGAAGTAACAGTAAGATAAAATTTAAATTGTTGAAAATTAAAAATTTGGCTATTATTTATATAAGATATCAACGATTGTATAAATTTTAATAATCAAAAATTTTAAACTGAGTATAACGAAAATAATATTTTCTTCTTAATAAATTTATTTATATTTTTAAATGGATATATAAAAATATTGTAAATTAATTATTGTGGTAGATTCAAATATCTCCATTTTAACATTTCTTTCTCATTTAAAAATAACATACGAAATTGTATTTCTTACAAAAACAGATAGGTTACAAAAACTTATTTACTTAAAAAATTCACATTTACATCGCTAAATTTGTAGTGAAATAAAACTTTATTAGCTAGCTGAGCATAATCTACTCAGATATAAGAAAACTAAAATTCGATAAATATGCATGTAAAAATATATTACGCATTATAATCTCAAAAAAAATATTACCTAAATGTTTGGGTTTTTTTTATTATTACTATTTACACAAGTAGTCTTTCACAAGCAGCTATGATCCAACTCTAAAAATAGAGTCTCATTTGAAATATGGTGATTTTGATCGACCCACTACTTGTAAAAACAAACATTTCCTTTCGTAAATAAATAAATCGCTTTTTTTCCAGCTGTCTTGATAAAACTCGAAATGAAATTCCTAAGCCCGAGAGGCCTTTCGTAATCAAAATAGGACGGTGAATTATTTTCCATTTTTTTTCCCGAATTGAAAACTTGTGTAAATGCCTTTAGAAAATTAAATTGCAGATGTTTTTCCTTGTTCAAATGAGCTCAAATGGCTACTTCAGGGTGGGTTGATGCATATGTAATTTTAGACTGACAACTATCTTATTTTTTATTCCAATGCTTTTTATTTTTCTTATTGTAAATAGAAGTGTTTATTAAAGTTTCGACAAAAAACGACTGCCTGAATATTGCGAAAATTAAATTGATTATACGTGGAATTTTTGGCAAAAGTAAATGAAAATAATTCGTCTGATGTATATTTATACCCTTATATATATATATATATATATATATATATATATATATATATATTGTGATCACCTAGAATTTTTTTTCTCATAAATGGATAAATGAAATAAACAATCGTTTGAAAAACCACTAGGTTGAATTTATGTCTTACATTATCTGTCGCAGAATTATGTTAATGCATGATGATATTATTTGGGTTTTGATTATTTCAACTATTATGAGTAAAAATTTCAACAGTGGTTGAAAATAATTTATTAAAAGTGCATCAGTGACATTGTTTTTTTCTCTTTAAAGGGCATAAAAATATCTTTATTTGCAGTCATTGTACTGAAAATTCTCCATAATATTTTTGTAATATTAATTAACAAGCTATCAGTTTCATTACATAAGTTAACACTAAAACCAAAGTTTAAATTGTTGAAATTTAAAAATTTCGCTGTTATTTACAAAAAGATATTAACGATTGTATAAAATTTAATAAGCATAAATTATAAATTGTGCATTACAAGAATAATATGTTTTTCTTAATAAACATTAAAATATAATTTTTAATGAATAGTATAAAAAATTTGATTAAATTATTGTAGCAGATAAAATATCTATTCATTTTAACATTTCCTTCTCATTTAAAAATAACATGAAATTTTTTTTTTCCAAACACAAGTAATCACAAAAACATATTTGCTTAAAAATTCATATTTACATCGACTACAGTTTGTGATTAAATAAAACTTTATTAGCTAGTCGAACATAATCTAAGCTGTTATAAGAAAACTAATTTTATTAATATACATAGAAAAAATATATTTCGCATATAATCTCAAAAGTAAATAT